GGAAAAGTAATGAGTAGTGCTGTATGACCAAAGATAAGTCTGAAAGATCCCCAATTTTATTATTTGTAAATTCCATAAAATCCCCCAGCTGGTTGGGCCCAGGGACTCTTGCACTACAGTCTCTGGTGGGCAAGGTAACATGAGACACCAGCGGAGATCTGGTGTATCCACTAATTTGGGAGAAATACTGGTCTCTGCTGCATTCCATCTGGTTTCAGAGATCTGAAAAGAGATCCAAAGTCTGAAAATCATAACAAAAGCAAATCCAAAACTTAGTAGAAATTGAGGAAAAACAAGCACACCAAGAAACTTTCATCAAGGAAGCCAAGGAATAAAAATTCCTTCTTTCATCCCTGAAGTCTAAATACTGCTATATTCCTTCTGTTCTTCTCCTTAAAAAAAAAAAATCAACTCCAAGTCACTATGTCTGCCTGACTCATCTGGAATTAGGAACACATTTCTGGTTGTGCTCTCCAAAGCACTCTGGGACAGAGATCACATTATTCCTGAGGAACACATCCAGGATTTGACCTTACTAGATCCAGAGTGTTCCACACACTGGAGCCAGGAAATTAGAAGACTGCATTATATTATGTAGCTTTTCCATTATCCTCTTGTTTAAATTACTTCAGCTTAGCTCTTAAATGTAGCACTTCGCTCTTTCCAAGGTTGGAGGCATCTGAGAGTCTATGTGGGGAAAAGATGTCTCTCACTGATTGTACTTGCTAACTTATGTATGGCTGTGACAACCCCAGAGCTTTAAATCCTGCAGCTCGTAGTACTGTATTAGTCACTTACATTTTTCAAAGAGAGTAGATCTTATGTTTTCTTATCACATATACAAAAATAATAATAAAGGGAAGGAAGAAATTTGGGGAGATTATGAATATGTCTATGGCCTGGATGGTGGTGACAGTTCTATAGGCATAACTTACCCCCAAACTTATCAAGTTGTATACATTAATAATTACAGCTTTTTCCATTTCAATCATACCTCAATAAAATGGTTTTTTAAAAAGAGAATGCCTCAATTATAAGCTGTGTCTAAGGAATATAAAAGTTTTCCAACTTGATAAGCAATTTTAAAAAGCATTTTCATAATATGTAAATTCTAAATTTTCTAAATATGTATAGATTCTTCAGTATATTTCATCTGAAAATATTTTAGTGAACATAAATTTAAATTGTAAGTAAAATGTCTGAAAGTCCATGTAAATAATTATTTATTATTTATATGTGTGTACTGGTCTGTAATGACCATAAATTTATAGCTATACATGAAATGCTAATAAACTTTTGGTTGGATGAAACCCAGTTTTCCACTATTAAAGTGCTTTTTTAGTCTAACCCTCCTGTAACAGAGGAAAATGCATTATAGGCCTGGGCTCCAGAGTAAGGCAAACTTGCCCTAAAATCACAGTATTATACTCTGGCACAGTGCCTAACCTCTTAGAGCCCCAGCTTCTCTATTTGTAAGATGGAAATGGTTAAGAGTCTGTAGCTCATCATCATTGTGAGATTAAATGTAAGTATGCTTGTAAAGCCATTAGCAAGTCCTTGACAAATGTTAGCTTTATAATAATGATTATGAAAACATCTTTAACTATAAGCTAACAACTAATCTTTTAATTAAAAAAAGTAGAAGATATTTCAATTAAAGAGAATAGAAGATATTCTTTGAAGGGCATTTTTACTTATTTATACAAAAACTGTATCATCATTTTTGTAAATGTCCCAAACTTTTGCATGCAGCACTAATTACCATGCTAATTTATGCCAATTTTCCAATGCATATTATTATAGACTATATCAAATATTTCCTAATTATATAGTTACAGTATTCATATCTTTTTCCCATTTTCTACTATTGGGACATTTCGACTAGTGACTTGGGGTTTTGTTTTTTGTTTGCTTGTTTTAGTCATCTTTGGAAGATACCATCACATTCATTGCTAAACACTTCTAGGATCAGCAATGCTTCCCTTGAACTCTCTCTTTTAAATAAGGAAAGAAGGAAATTGTTTAATGCTATTAGAAAATGCTTTGAATCATAACCAATAGTTTCCTCAATGCATGTGGTTGAAATGACTTAAAAAACAAACAAACAAACAAACAAAAACAAAGGCTCTATCTTGTTTTGTCCTGTCAAGTAAAAAGTAGCTAGAGAAAACCTGTGGTCCTTGTATACTGTGGACTAAATGCCTCAAAAGTTATTTATCCATTGCTCCAGCAAACTCAGTGCCCACTCTTCAGTGGGTTGCCCTGTATTTCTTTCAGTTAGAAATGGTTTCTAAATCATTTTTTTACTGATAAGAATCATTCTGGGGCGGGGCAGGGGAAAGCTCCTTTGTTCCCTGTGCTTCTTCTCCCATTCTGGCTCCTCTTGTCTGACCAGGTGAGGGGTTGCAATAGAACTGTTGCTGGTCCCAACAGATAGAAACCTGAAGGGCCAGAGCATACAACCCCTGTGTTCATCCAAAGTCCACATGGACCCAGTAACTATCCTTCACTTCACGATAATTCCTTCAAAGAGGGTTTTAAAGGCTATGCCAGGTAGGTTAAAGTTTATATGGGTAAAGATTATTTTACAAAGAGACTGTAGTGGTAAGTCCTCAATCATAAGAAAACATGCCTCTCTGAATACATTAAAAAGTCTCCAGAGCTGGTCAGAGACATGAGCAACATTTGATAAGCACCGATATTCTACAGAACCCTCTAACATCTATCTCCTCCTCTCTGTGCCTTCATCTACTTCCACCAGGTGTCTTGTCACATTCTAGTCTTTTCTCCACACTGACTTCCTTCACCCCATGCCATTTCTTGATTCAGTCACCAAAAAGATCGGTTTAAAACACTTATCTAATCATACTCACTAGGTCCATAATCTATCAGTGGCTCATGGTCAAGTCAAAAAAAAAAAAAAAAAATCTGAACTCCTTAACATGGCATATATGACCCTTCATCATCTTCCCAAAGTTCTCCCTAATACCCTGGCTTAACACATGCCCTTTCACTCGCATGACCAGTTTTTCAACCTCAGCACTGTTAACATTTTGGGATAGATGATTTGTTCTTTGTTGTAGGGGAGGCCGTCTGGTGAATTGAAGGGATAAAGCAGTATCCTTGGCCTCTACCCACTAGATGTCAGTAGCACCTCCCTGCAAAGTCGTGACAATCCAAAATGTCTCTAAATACTGACAAATGTTCCCTAGAGGGTAAAAATCACGCAAGCTGAGAATCATTGGCCTACATCTTAGCCTTTATATATGTTAATTTCTTGCTGAAACAGCACCTACCTTCCCTCTTCACCCTGTCCTGAATTTCTTCACTTGGCTAACTCCTGAACTTGGAATTTCAGCTCACCTGTCATCTTAACTTCTCTTTTCTTCCAAGTAGGAGTAACTGGCCTTTTTCTGGGTACCTTGAGCCCTTTGTGCTTAATCTAGGATCAAATATTTATAAAAGTGTTGTCTTCTCTACCAGACTGCCTTCTCTGTGAATGCAGGGGCTAAGTCTCTGGCCACTTATCTCTAGCACCTGGCACAATACAGCTACCAAAGCAGGTGTTCAAAAAATAACTACAGAATCAATGGATGAAAAGCAAGCATAAGTATTCTAGAATAATCACGACAGTTAAGAAAAGCAGGCAAGTGACACAGCAGTTTGGTTTAATGCTCTCAAGTTTTACGAACATTTTATAACCTCATGTTCTATCAGAGGTCATGTCCAGTTTTTATGGAAAGATAAGACAGATAGAAATTAAGAATTCTAAAGCTAACTCACAGCTTGTAAGTACCGGAAAGACAAGATGGGGCCACTCAATGCCCCAGTGGCATTTCTGTCTTCAAAATCTCCTTCTTCAAGCAAGAATTGTTGGCCTTTAAAATGTTCTTTTTCATAGGCAACCCACCTAGAAATACAAAGGACATCAATGAGCCATTAATAAAACTGTAGCCAAGAAAAAAAGAGAAAAAAATCATGATAAAGTACCTAGTTGCACATCACCATATTTTAAAAAGCAACATGTTTGTTTTGTTACCATTTAAAAAGACAGACAAATGGTATATGCTTCATGGGTCAATATTTTTTAGTTTGGAGGGTTTTCCCAACAAAAGGGTAACTGCTGTAGAATTCCAACAAAGCAATGCTCATTAAATGTTTATGCTGTGACTTAATACTACATCTCAAAATAGTTAGAGATTAGTTTGCCAACTAAAAAATTATAGAAAGCACAAATAGGCAATGAGAAAAGTTATAAACCCACACAGAGATTCAAAGATAATCTTCCTTGTTTTACTGATTAAGCCCTTCTGGAATCACAGAATGATTACTTAACATTTATTTAGGGTTTAAGTTAAAGGAATCTCTCACCAGGTTTCAGATCTAAAACACATTACAGGCAGGTTTAGCAAAGAGGAACTGGGAAATGTAACTGAGTTGGTATTAAGCCCTGGTAGCCCACATCTATCTAGACAACGTCTTCTGTAGGTATTTACAATGGGAAATGCTATCAGTGATGACAATGGAAGCAGGGAACACTGTACTTTTCAGGGACACAGGATTCTTGACTTCTAATCTAAAACTGTCAGTACTGAACACTGATAAACACCATTAGTCATCACGGTCCTCCACAACTTACATTTTATGGAGTAATTGAGCAGCTAATAATGCAGTGCGGGCGTAGATGGTTCATAATACATGCTGAACTGCTTAAATCTGTCTTCAGTTGCACTGTGTACATAGAGTGGGACCGCTGCCACATGCAGATGCCAAGGATGACTGTATTTTGGGCTCTTGGGTTGAGGGCTTCTGAATTCTGGAGCTTGATAAAATGAAGCCTGGTAGGGCTGACTACTATTTTTTCCTTTCTCCACTCCTACTATAGTTGTGAAGATATAAAAAATATTCCAAAGAATTGTTTCCATAAGGTACAAAATTACTGTAGCCAGACAGTAATCATGAACTCCTCCTCACTGGGTCGTAGCTATGCATGTGGCAGAGGAAGTGGTGGGGAGGGGCACATGAGCTGAAATACCTACTTTATACATCTAAGTATATTTGTAATATGTAAAGAAACTAGCATTATTTTATTCTTAAATTATAATGAATATCATTTTTTGGGGGTGGGAAAGTGAAAATAAACTTCCAAAAAATTTTCAAATTCTAAGTCTTCTTTCATGTAAATGTGGCTCCTCAAAACATGCTTTTAATATATTTGAAAGGGAAAAAAAGAAAAGCTACAGAGGACCTTAATACTAAAAGACTGATCAGTAAATTATTACATGATGACCATTCAAAAACATTCTGCCCAGTTTTCCTTAATAGACTTGATTAAGATTCAATTTATATACCCAGTGGGGATATTTAAAAATAGATGTTAATATCAAGTTCACTTTCCCCGGATTCCTCCAGATGGGAGAGAGATAAAGAAGGGTCTATACTACATACAGATAAAGTTAAACAGCTAACAAAAATGAAAAATGGTAGAAACTCAGAAAAAAATAATGAAGTCAGCTGCTCATCTTTAAATGGAGACATCACATTTTTTTTTTTACATCTCTCCTGCAATTGTTACATAAAAATGAAAGCATGTATATTGTATTACAAATATTTTCTTGAGATTTTTATAAAATAATTATTTTTAAAAACTTGGAAAAATGCAATGCATATCACAGTCTAGTTAATGAGAAAAAACATTCAGATCCCAAAGGGAAGAACATGCAAAGATATTTAACGAAGAATTAACAAGAAGGATGTATGTTCACAAATCAGAGAATACTGCAAATAAATACAACACAATAAAAATGTGTTTATCCAAAATGTATTTGTTCTTCAAGTCCTTAATAAAATTTTACAATTCAAGAATAAGGAATTAAGTGATTACCAATGTGTCAGACCAATTATAGACATGACCTAGCATACTGCATAGTCTCTTAGCATTTTGGCTGGTATGGCCATCTCTTGCTTTTCTGCCAAAAATTGCAAATTCTAAATCTCTAAATGTAGATGCCTTCATGACCTCAGA